TACAAATGTCAACACAGTTCTACTGTATGAAACGGAAACCTGCAGAACTACCAAACCCATCATCCAGATGATACAAGGGTTTAGTAACAGTTGTCCACGTAAATACGTCGGATCCTATGGTCAGACACTATTAGCAACAACTTACTATAAGAGCAAACAAACCAGATCCCAGTGGAGGAGGAAATCAGGTAGAAGCACTGGAAGTGGATAGGATACATATTGAGGAAAGCACAGAATCGCGTCACAAGGCAAGTCCTCACATGGAATCCTCAAGGCCAAAGGAGGAGGAGAAGAGGAAGATCAAAGAACACATTACACCGGGAAATGGAGATAGACATGAGAAAAATGAACAAGAATTAGATGGAACTAGAAACGAAGGCCGGGGAGAGAGTGGATTGGAGAATGCTGGTAGGCGGCCTATGCTACATTGGGAGCAACAGGCGTAGGTATGTAAGTAAGTAAGCATAAGGTGATGTATAATCACTTACGATGTAGTATGAAACCTAATAGGCAATAAATCTATGTAACTACTTTATTCACATAGGTTGTGTGTAACATCAGCTAGGGTGAAAATAAGTATTCTTAAGTAATGATCGGTTTTGAGATTTATGTGTAGGTGGACATCACTTAGTAACATGAGACATGCATTCTTTAACCGATCAGTCATTATCTACGTAGAGCACGGAAAAAAGGTGGGTTAGCTTAACTAACCATACAACATCAATGCGAAAAATATAATTACAGGAGAAAAGCCTTTAAATATTTTTACAGTTTCCGCCAGATATTCATGATAGTCACTATAAGAAGTCTAGTAAATCCCAAATAACACCTACTACCAATATAAGTGTACTAGTTGTACGTGCAGTCAAGTCGCAGTATGAATATCTGTCATCTATTTTTACCTTCTAAATGCTATACAGTTCAAGTAACTTGGTTCTGCATAATAACATCGGCATTTTAGATCTCGCGAATGACACTAATAATAACCTGAAACCAAAAACGAATAGCAAGATACAAAATAAAGTCATTGGTTCGATACATCGAACTTATAGAAAAAATTAAACCTTAATCGTTGAGAACCTTGCATCTATGCTCGTTCAGAAAGTATTACTCTCGTGGTCACCAGATTTACTCAGTAAGGTCTAATTATACTATGATGATCTTAAGAATTTGATCAGATTCAGTCAATTGGTAGACAGCTTGTATGAATGAATGATTTAGTACAAAAGTAAAAAATTCGTATCAACAAAGACTGGGCGTTTAAGAGCTGCCCCAAGACAATGCAACCCAAAAATTTATTTACGACCTTAATTTGCATTAGTATTGTGTTTTTGGTCATCCCGTATTAAACGTTGAAGCTTCGTGTGTTTAAAATGATAACTTCGTGCTCCGACTATTTTGTTACACGATCCGGGTAGAAATTTATTACATTCACTAGTTTAGATTCTCTCTAGTAGAAAACGTAGTGTAATTACCATCATTGTAAGTTTATTAAAAAGATATTGCTATTGCATTGATAATGAATTCTTTTGAGCTGGCTGTAGGTTATTAATCGTTAGAGATTTTGATGTTCATATCGGTGTTGAAGAAGTGAGGTCGGACGTTAGTTCTTAGCTAACAACTTTAAACCCCAAAATTTATTTCCAAACATAATTTTAAATTATAGACTTAATCCTTGTCTAGCAGTTTGTAAGAACAACAGAAACAAATTAGAAACTGCTGTCGAAGTCACTACGAAACGAATGAAGCACACCTTACTCTTTGTTAGCTTTTGACAAGGTCTTTGTATGTCCTATCTACACTTGTATCTCTATTTATTGATAATAGATGGTGATATGCAAATCATTTTGCTAGGGGTAACCTTGGCTGATAGATTATTTGTTTGTTGTAAGTATTGATTATGAGAACAAATTGGACTAATTACGGTTAAAAAGTTTCATAAATTTACGCAAAAACACATTGTGGTTACATAAATACCAAAATTTATTTTGGAACTGACTATCTGAAGTGAAGACACGTCAAAAGATGCTCAAATATGCACCATTTACCCACTAAGGGAACAAAAAGATAGAATAAGAAATAATTTTTCAGTCGGATGCTCCCTTAATCTCATAGTAGTTTGACTTGAATGTTTCATGGTCAGACGTTAAGATCGGGCATCACAGATTTTTCCTACGCTTTAGTAGTTTATATATTCTTTCAGCAATCATTGAAGAGTGACTCTATAATATACTTGGTATTCGATTGTTTTATCTTCGAATATGGTCTTAAATTTACTCGACACTTCAGAGGACTGATCCATATTGCCCAACCAGTTTGGTTATATGAGTGAAAATAAATGGTTGACACACACTTGGATTAGAGGCAACAGATTCAAGTGGTATATCATGAGCTTTGGACCTGAAGTGAAAACAGTAGGATCACTGTTTGCTAGGAAAAGCGTCAATGGGGAAGGGCTGATATATAGGCATCGTTAATAAATTTTCCACTGAAGTTAGCAGCTCATAGATTGCACTGCGAGGAATCGACGTTTTTGGGTTTTGCTGTTTACATGACCAGGGTAAGACAGATATTCAGGAATACTGTTAAGAAAATGATGGACAGTATATTGAACCGTCTTTTGAAACTCAGATTGCATGATGTTCTCAACAGGGACTGTCAGAATTATCAACCACATCAACAACTGACATGGGGTACTGTGGTCAGATTAGTGTGTATTGAACTGTGAGAGATTTCTGTTGGAGCTGCGGAATAGCGAAAATGCAACACTTAGGGTTACATTAGGGAGGATTACAGTTTGTATTTACACGGCATAATTTTTAGAGTATTGTATTACTGTAATACTATATTCTCATGATATGGGGTTCCGCTTGACTTATAAGCTATTTTTTATCCGTCTAACTGTTTCTTAACTGTTATTAGTATTCGTTCACGTTCTGCTCCGCCCAATACCACTTGTGTCTCGGTTTTTACATATAGTGTGTTGTAGTTTGACAATTAATATATCAGAAAGCGTAAATGTTTATGGTTTGACCCGGTATTAAGTGCAATTATCTTTGCTACTAGAACGATAGACCTAATCCCGAAATTGCAGATTTACCATGATACGACTACTTAATCTATGATACATAACGTGGAATTCATATCGTCGTCTATACTGACTCGTCTTATCATTACACTTGGCAATATGATGTTTGGAACTTCTGAAGGAAAAGGAATCGGTTACACAGGGTGACCACGCCTGTATGGCCGAGCCATGTCATGCTGATTAAGTCTTCCTGCATTCGCTATATTTGCGTTTCCCCAAGTGTTAAATCATGAATGTGAATCTTCTTAGTTATCGTATGTTCAGTTTCAGGGATCGTGTGGTTGGAGAACAATACCACTACAAGCCTACGAATGCTTTATTGTGTCTGTATCTCACATATCACCGGATACAAGCAAGAAGAGAAACGTGTGTTTTGGACGTATGGGCTTTGATAACGATAGTAGTTACTGTTCAGGGTTCTCTGAACCTTTTCCAGAATCTCACTGTCTTTTTTAAAGCAGGGGCTAGTCGCTTGTATGCAGTACTCAAGTTTAGGACGTATGATCACTGTAGGCTACGTTTACAGGTAACGTTTGGTTCTTAAGAGCCCACCAGCTTTCACGAGCGACTAACAAGTTAGTGAGACAAGCGCAACCTATTCTGAAACCATGCTGCTTCTCCGAAAGGATCCGGTTTTCATTGAGAATTTTAAACAGCTCCTTCCAAATAATATTTTCTGAGATTTAAACAACCACACTGGTTAGGCTAACGGGTTGGTGATTCTCAGGTTTATGTTTCGTACCTGTTTTGAAAACAGGACTTACTATGGCGTTTTTCCAGTCTTTTGGTAAACGATCCTGCGTTACGGATAGGTTAAAGGATATACTTAAAGGGTTCGCAACGAAGTTAGATAATCCCTTCAGTAGCCTAGGATGCAACTCATCGAGCCCCGTGGATTTACCTATGTCAAGCTTATTTAGAAGACCAAAGACATCGAGTTCTTTAATGGTCACGCTGTTCAGTGGATGTGTGGGGGGATTTGTATGCGTTGATGGGAAGGGTTCTTCTGTGGTATTTACATTGCTAAAGTAGTTTGAGAACACTTGAGCCTTACCAAAGTCGTCCTCCACTAGTGAAGTGGCAGTACCGTCTCCCCATAGTGCAGGAATATTTCCTCTTCTTTTTGTCCTTTGGTTTATATAGGAATAGTAGCATTTAGAACATTCTATGGATTCCTTAACAACTTTTTCTTCGCATAACATTCTAGACCTGCGGAGATTAAAGGCTTCGAACGACATGGCTGAAAATCATTTGAAATGGAGGAGGTCTACCCATGATTTGTTTTCTTTTAAATCCTTAGACCCTAAATTTCTTTTAACGTTTCTGTTCTTATTTCTCTAGTTTATATCTTCTTTCAGAGTCGTATCTTTGATGTCTAATCTTTCTTACTGCCAGTAGCACTGTTATTTTTTTCATTGCTATGATAGTTGAATTTAAAACATCATCGCTTTGTGTTAATGGGGTATGGCAACTTGGATTGAATGTATATACGTTGTGAGTGACTAACTGACTAAAACCCATCATATGAACTACTAAAACACATACAATGCACAAAATACAGCATTAAAAGCTGCGCATTCCATGTGAGACTGTTATATCTATCGGAAACATGATGGAAGACCCAAATCAATGTGTCGTGAACCACAAGGATTGTTATAATGGATAACTTTTAAGGTCGCATGTGTATTAGTCACACATTTGATTGTGATTGTTATTTGTTATCGATAGTCCGCATTGTCAAATGTAAGTTCATTTTAATTGCTAACTGGTTTATCGACTTAACTTTCACCTCTTTTTCTATAAGAATCTCTCATATACTGTGTTTTACACATTTCTCTGACAAAACAAACGGACAAACTGATCACAAAATAGTCAAAGGCCGAACATAACAATTTTACGTTTCAGACTTGAAATGTCACTATCTTGGAAGCCCCCTCAATCTCATGAATCAGAAAACGACAAAAATAATGTGAGCAGAAAATCAGTTATCTTAAGTTTATTGAGTCCAAACAAAGGAAGATTATTTGGAAGCAATACGTCCATCGCTGATATGCCCTGTAGCGTACACTTGCTGGATGATCGTTGCATGTCCGTTTCAGTATCAGTAAGCGATTTATTAGACTATGATTTATAAATGCTATCATTTTAGCGAGTAGTTACTGATTAAAGTTTTTCAACATATAAACTTATTTGAATCATGGTAACGAATTGCTGTTTCGAAGCCACAAATGTTCACAGTAATGTTGATAGATACTTAACTTTCGAAGTATTGTTTTGGTAAAATATTTTCTGAGTAAAATAAGAAAGAATTCACCCTCAATTTGTGTTAGAGAAAGATTCATTTTAAAGTCTATGTTTTAAATGTACGTTGTTGTAGAATGGATCAAAATAAGATAGAAATTGTTCCACTGTTTTCAAGTCTTACAAATAAATCATCTCTATTTAAGGAAAGTGAAAATCAAGAAAACTATGGCTAGTTTTAGCAATGGTTGAATTTGGTCCGAACATTTTTATGGTACAAGCTATTACCAGGCACTGAAACAGTGAAAATTCTTTGAAAGAGTCAGTATTCAACTTGCAAGTATTGAAAATATTCACATGGTTGGTTTTGTTCTATCTAAAGAATCAGATGTAATCTGATGTCAAGTTAGTATTCAAGAGTACGAAACGATAGACTATAAAGCTACCCTCAACCAGGAATAAAACTGAAAGTATATAAAAATAGGAACAGTACAATCTGTTGATTATTTTCGAAAACTGTTTAGTTGATTTGGTCCACCACAGTTATTGTTACCGTAAAATCGACTTTTTTACCTTTGTATTTTTCGACTTCATATCACTGTGCCGATGTTAAATGTGATAGCATGAAATTGTACAGATTTTTTCGGGGCCATACGTTGTTTACAAAGGGGCGACTAACTAGAGTTGGTTATAACTCTTCTTACTTTTATTTGCTCAAAAGAAAAAGCACTTTAGGTTTGGATGCTGACCACATTAGTTTTGATGGACTCACATAGCTGAAGGCGGTCGGTCATGCATCCGCAACCACTAGCCAGTTTGGAACAGTCACTTTTCGATATATTGATAGCCTATCAAATATATCTTCAAAACCCCTCGCTTCTGACTTTTGATTTCACTGGGTGGGCTCAATTAATTATAGAAGGTGTTACTGGTTAAAGTGCTGTCACACTACAAATACCTGTGGCATCTTCAGTCTTACCTACTGTTCTAAAAATAAAGTTCAGTTCTTTATTTATTACTAGCTCTGTCTAAAAGGTTCAATACTTGTATAAAGTATCTTATGATACGTTTTACTGTGGTTTTTGCTGTTTATGTTTGAAGTTTTTTAAACCCCTATCTGCACCTTAGTTAGTCATAATTTTCTGTTATTCTTTGAGAGAAGAATAGTTTCCCGATAAATGACGCAAGATCGAGCAATGAACAATATTTTCAAACACTTTAATGACCAAATTAATTGAACTAAGTTGGTAATGGGAGTCAACTATGTCCTCAATGTGGATTCAATAAACCAAACAACAACATATCAGTCTTTCTTTGGTTTCGTCCGGTTTAATAGTTTAGCGGCGTTAGTACCGTGACAATGATGTGTGATAGTACTAATTTTATGAGATAAAATTTTTTGAACCAAAGAACTTATCAAGCAATAGATTCGAAAGCAAAACTAGTGTTTTTTACTTCTTGGTCCTCATATGTTATATTTTTCTGATTTACTAATTACAATTGTTATGTTGGGTCTGCTTTTTACTCCCAAAATAAGCAGATAAAACTCCATGGCTTAGAATATATCTTGAGATTGTTTCGCATACGTATTGCTAACGGAAGAGTAATGAAATCGTTTTGCTCTGGCCACGGGATTCTCATTTTCCAAGATATTCCCGCAGTTATTAAACTATCTATTCCTCTCATGTCAGTTTGTTCTTTAATAATAGCACTTTGTGCAACTTTTGTCAACTTATTTTTCTTAGCACTTGTTATGTGCTTATTGCCATTATAGAGTGATGTTTTTGACCCAATTGTTACTTTACTAAATAATGCTCAACCTTCTGAATAGCCCTTTAAACCTTTTAATAATTGTTACATATAAATCAAAATGGTGAAACTAAACGGTTAAGTCATGTGACTCATTCATAAAGATCTTTAAAGTTTAGTGATAAGTAATTCCCAATAAACAAACATGGGTTGAGCCATCATGCTTAAAGCTAGATTCTAGCTTTAGTGGGAGAGAAAAGGTTTATTCTGATATAACTTTGTCTAGATGATGATTCACAAGTCCATTAAATCTGTATCCATAGTTTAAATAACAATCACTTATCAGTAATAAATTATAGAAACAACCGAAGTCATTCACCCAGAGAGAGTTATTTGGGCGCTAAGCCTGGTGATATTCATCAAAAAGAGAACAGCGTTGTTACATACAAACACTTTTACATTGTTTAACCGTTTTTAATAGCAATCCCAGATTTATGTGCCTCCTTCAGGCCTTATAATATCAGTTTTGCTCTTTAAAAGTTTAGTGAAATCTACTTATTGTCAAGGAAATTTAACATACCCATTTGTTGATAAAACTGAGAGCTGATTTTTAACTATCTCTTACTAAATTCAGTAAAATACTGGAATAATCCTTGTGTAAATTTTGATTAGCAAATTCTCTGTATAGCTACCAGATGATACCAACTGTCTTTTAATTCATTAGTGTGGTTCAATTTACAAGAAATCAAAACTTCAATGATGTGATTACTGTTTGAAGTCATAATATGCTTGTCTCTGTTCCTGACATTAGAATAATTACGCCATCCTTCGGAAAGAATATAAAACTTATTTCGTACTACAAAAAGCTTAGGAAATTTCCTACTGTCATTTTGCCCTGTGACGATTTAGCGAGTATAAGACTCTGGCATAAAGTGGGATTCCAAAAGACTGCAGGTAGCTGAACCAAGATCTGGTATTAGTTAATGGAATTATTAACTGAGAAGAGCACAGAAGCTCAAAGTTCCTGACTAATTTACCCATAGTTTAGAAATGTACTTCTTCGAATTCCGTTTCTCAAAATACTGAGCATTTGTCAATTTATGTTCGTTTATTCCATATTAAGTGAACTCTTCCAATATTTTTTTAATTCTAACTATTTTTCCCCAAGCTCTTCTATCTGTCTCATTAAAAAAATTTGAATATCAATATAATATGTTTTCGTGAATAATTTTTTGTACTATATCTTGTTCATCTCTGAGTTTGTCATAAACGACTGATTTAAAACAAACGTTTAGCACATTTTTCAAGGTAACATAGTATCTTTTAAGAGGGTGTAAACATATTAGTGAAAGTTTTATTATGATTTGATAAATAATACATACTAATTCAGTTTTACTATTCCTATTCGTTATTTAATATTCTGTTGGATATTTTGATGAATAATTGATCAGGTCACACACTTCTCTTAAACTATTCATCCATCTGATTGATAGAATTTATTAGTATAATATAATAATAACAGTATTAAAAGTTACTAATACTAATAGTTTAATGTATATAATCAACAAAGTCTTCTTTTAATATTTCACTATTGAAGTATGTACACAAACTCATGGAGGTATGAGTCAATTTGATAAAAGAGTACACAGTTGAAAAAAACAAACAATACGACAAATCAATAATATTCCATACAAAATATGCTTATCAATATTAAAACAAAATTTTTTATAATTTAATTGATTTTGTAAAAGAACACTAAATCAATTTTTCAAAAAAAAAGATGTATTATCTCTATTTGAATTAAAGTTGATACTTAACATAGCAACAATTCACTACTTCTGTTTTCTTAATTTATATATTTTAACTCAACAACATGTGATGAATACGAATAATTTAATACATTTTAATGGAATCAAAGTTTTGATAAATTTGTTCTTTATATATATATATTTAAAAGAAGTGGAGAGATTACAGTTTTGTTATCTTTCATTGACTTTAGAGGAATTTTCTAGAACGTCTGGCATGCGATTTAAACTTTCTAATCATGGAACAAATAATATATTAAGATACATCTTTATCTTAATACAGGATTCATTTTAAGAATTAATGTTATGTTGACTTATATACAATAGTTTGTAGTTGGTAACCACGGAATAAATTTTATTATTTGTCTTATTATACGCCTATAGAATCAAATTGATGAAAATAGAATTTACTCACTGTTTCATTCAGTTTATCATCCAGTACGAATAAACAAATCAGATGATGAATAGTTTATCTACAAGAAATAAAGAAGCTATAACTTGTATGAGTTTATAACAACTAAACTGTACTAAAATGAGTTATAAGATATAAAGAGGAGGTGGTTTAACGTTTAGAGTTCTAGATTTATCAAAAAATTATAATTAAAGATCTAAACTAATGCGTTTTTATGTATTAGAGTAGAAACATCGACCCTTTACTCTGCAATGACTTGAACTAACATATCAATGAATCATATTCTACATTTTTCTGGAAAATTGCAGTAATAAAAACATCATATATAACTTACTGTTTTAATCAAGTTATCCAAATGTAATTGCAATTACCCGGTAGAAGCACTACCAAATGGAGTGTTATAGATAGAGAATAAGTCCATAATTACAAGATCGGTGCGACTTTTTCACACTACTAAACTTGAATAATCCTTAAACGGATCTCGATATTACTATGCATCTTACTAGACAATAAGCAGATTGTTGTGTTAAATCATGAATTAATTATGTACAGTATTTTGATGTAACTTCTGGAATCGTTCTTGTTTTCAAAAATGGTACAAAAGCTCATTTGCATAGGCATAATATAGTTCCCTTCTAGATTTTTCATAAGGTTACCATTAGAGCTTATATGAGAACAAATTAAGACATTCATACCACATAGACTTGTAGCTAATAATGTATTTAAGTTCCACTGATCAGTAAACTTTAAAACCAAGAAAATATTATTGATATTAGGAATTATGGTTTAAAGCTGTGTAGCAGGTTTGCTTAATATCTTCTGTGGTGATCGGACTATATAATAAAACTAATCAATTTAAAAGCATTATAAGGTCAACCCAGACATATTACATCATCTTCTAACTTCTTTAGTACATCATCGTTGAGATCATCAAACGGTTAGTTGGAAAACTAGGTAACCACATCGATAATCACACCAGTGCTCTAATAATATTTCATTATTGTAAGCTAACCAACCACTTTTTTCGCTGTTCTTTATTTTACATGTTGTTGAGTAGTAAACCATTTTTTTCAGAAAATTGTAACACATATCCTGAAAAACTGAACTATGCAAAACTTAAAACCAGAAATCAAATCATTTCTCAGAAAGATGATTGGTAAACTAGCTTTTATAAAGCATATGAAAACCATTTCAGCTATGATATTATTTCATAAACGTGTATGCAAATTCATGATACAATTTATTGATCACTGGGTGGTGATCAATGTCATGCATGTCTAGACCTTATTAGTGCAGATCGAATGCTATCGATCATGTTACAATGTGGCTACCAGCCTAGGTGACTCGACACTATTGTGAGATTAGATGGTGGTTGGAGGTTTTGCGCTACTTGGCACTCGTCAGCAAGGTGTACCTGTAATCTTGAGGGAACTGGTGCTCCCTGACGTATTCGATCTCGTGTCACCCAGCTTCACTTTCAGAGACGTTACCACTGAGCTATCCGAGCCGCAACCGACCTCCTGTAGGACTGAGATGTAATCACAATTGATTGGTCACTGAGGGGCGATCAATGTCATGAGTGTCTAGTCCTTATTATTGCAGATCGAATGCTATCGACCATGTTGCAATGTGGCCACCAGCCTAGGCTAGTGTTCCCTCAAGATTACAGGTACACCTTGCTGACGAGTGTCAAGTAACAAGAAACCCTGGTTTAGGGTTTCCTGTCGACTACCTCCAACCACCATCTAAATTCATAATACAGTTATTCATATAACTATAAGATAAATTATTGATAAAGTTTTAGCATATTAGAATCGTGTAAGTTTCTAATCAAGATGAAATATTTATTATACTGAACTATTTTTAAAAAAAAAGGTAGTATTATCGATCTGAATTTGGTCATTTAAGTTTCATTCTTGGCTTAACATAGAATTAGTTTGATAGAACAAACTGTATTGTGTGAAGATTAAATATTTAATTCCAATATTACTTACTAATTATTTAACTTGATATGATTTGGTTTAGTAATTTTTTTGTTTTGTTTTTAGACATAAAATTATTCTTTATTTGGATAATACAGAATGACAATGATTTATGATAGTATTTATTGTCTGGTATAAGTATTTTTTTTAGGATTGTGGTCACGTAAAAGAGAAAGAAAACAACATTTAGTTCTTGTTAATCAGCTTATTGACTTTGAAAACAAACAAACAAACAAATAAAGTAATATCTATTTGTTCCTTTAGATCTATTCAAGGGTTATTATAGTCTAAGTTCATTTGTAAATGTATTAATCATAATCATTAACTATTAGTGACTAAGATAGAACAGTTTTTTGGGTTGTTTTTTTTAAACAAAGAACAAACTGTAAGCTTGAAATGAACTTCGATATGTACAATGTAATTTGTAGATTTAAAGACACTCATTCATAAAGTATGTAAATGAAATTGTGTAGGTGTTTTTTTGTTTTGCTTCATTTAATGTTTCAATATGTAAGTCATTTTCATAGTCATGTGTTAATGTAAGTAAGTAGTCAATTCATAAATTCAAAAAAAAATCAACCCACACAAAACAAAACTTGACTTATTATAAATTTGATTTTAAGAATTGTAATAATGATAATAAACCAAATTGTTTAAATATGAAGTATATAATGAATACCAGTTATTGATTAGTTGTCTTGTACATTATTTAATTCATTGATTCAGTGTTTTTGATTAGATATTAAAGTGTCTTTCTCTTTCGTAATTATGTATAGAAAAATAGATACCCTAGATACAACCCTATACGAATTAATTCAATAGACTATCACATAAAATATTATTTTTATGATTTATGATAACTACTGTCTGAAAAATAAATAAATGGTCGCTCTGGTTGTCAGAAGGGGCATCGGCCTCGTAGCTTCCGAAGGAATTCGGCTTTCATCATGAGGCGTCATAGTTCTTCTAAATGAAGACCTTCTGACTCCCAGGGCAGAGTTTAAAAGGTTTGAATAATTTTTTCTGGTAAGCGTTTGTTTAGCGAGTTAGTTTTCTACGGGATGGGGACGCTAACCCCATGCCCAACCCTCCTCCTTTACCCGGGCTTGGGACCGGCAGTAGCCCCCAGGCGGGACTCCAGGCGGAGTTTCTGGAAAACATAGTTGCTTTATATATATATATATATATATATATATATATATATATATATATATATATATATATACTGTTAAAGGTTGCTCAGTTTGAGCTACTGACCAACTTGAGTCATATGCTAACTCAAGAGATCTTCTAAATTACTAGTTCTACAATAATGATTTGAAGACTACTTCTGTGAAATAACAAGCAAGTAGTATTACAAAATTATATTTGGAATCTTAAGTAGTTTGAAAGTAACCTGAATAACTTAACTATAATTCTTATAGAACTTAGTAATCCTGTTTGTATGGATCACTCAATTAGTTGCCAATAAAATCTTTTTATAACATGATCATAGACATACATCGAAAAAGTAAATCTTTTTTAAATATTTTTCTTCTACCTTTAGAATAAAGCATTTGGAAGATGTTTACTCGAAGTTGTTTGTGAACGTCTTGATGTTCTACCATATATATCCTATTTTGGACTTCGTTATTCTGACAATAATGGTATGAATGTAAGTGGTTTTGATGTGTTAAAATTTGTAAGTCATTCAAAAAAAAACTTCATGATTAAGTATAAATGTATGATTAACAATAATCCTTCAATGTTTGTCGTTTTAAAAAAATAATTTACCATAAATTATTGGCACAGCGGTTACTGTGTTGAGGATAATAAATGATCATACTAGAATCATCATTTAGTAATTGAAAGGTGAATATATGTAATTACCCTTCATTATAATTTATCATAGAACATTAATTTCATAGTATCTTATCATAAGTATCTAAATAAAATAGATAAACATCTCAATGGACTGGCTATTTCCAAATTATAAATTACCGAAATACTTGGTATACTGATAGAGTTTATTAAAAATAATTCTGAAAATAGTTGACATGTTGAAAATGTTTAAAGAAAGTTATAATACCTTACCAGTCCAGTAAAGTTTAGACATACTATTATTTGTAATCACTGGTATAAGACTTCGTAAGTGTTAAATATATTTTGAAAAAAAGATTTTATTAGTTTTTATTAAATGATCTCATAGAAACAAATGAAAATGACATTAAAACCCAAATTAAATAGAAATGAAGATTGAAAAATTAATGATCTGTGTCTATTAGAAGAACAGTGTTAAAACCTTAACAATGTGAAACATAAACAAAGATGGATAGTGGCTAGCAGTGGAATCCAGAACACGCGTTTCATCCTATTTTGGACTAGTCAGCTGGATGTACTTACATCTCAGAGTTGATGTTCACTCTGAGACTCAAACCCAGTACTGTTTGCTTCAAACGCCATCACGTTATCCACTTAGCTACTGAGTCCTGATAGTCACTTATTTGCACATTGAGGTAAAGTTTAAATTTACTTGGTATTGTTTTACTTGGATCTGCTCATTGATGTTTGGGACTGCAACTGATCAATCTCTTGTTGGCATATGTGCTTACTGTGAGGATTGCCTCGATACCGGGTTCGAGTCCCAAATAGGACGAGACACATGTCCTGGATTCCACTGTTAGCCACTATCCATCTTTGCTTATAATGCTTGTGAATTAAGACAATATCGAGGCGATACGCACAGGTTGTACATATGCCAATAAGAGATTGATCAATTACAGTCTTAAACATCAATGGGAATATTCAAGTAAACAATACTAAGTGAATTTAATGTGAAACATACTTTTAGAAAATCAACCGATTTTCCGCCAACCGGAATATTATTGTAATTACTTCATAAAATTAAGTGATGTAGGTGTTAAATAGTGAATGATTTGTGTACTGTTTGGTTTTTAGTAAAAAACCATGTGAGTGAAAAAAGAGTTAAAACAAAAGTTTTCTTCTGAGGTATGATGTTTTGCATGTATACTTTCTACTGTCTATTTCGCATTGATACATCTATTGTACACTCAACATTTGTTTTCTTTTCTCAAAAGCCGTGTATTTGAACATCATGTGACTTCAAATGTATATTGTTCTCAAAATGTATTATGCATTTTATATTTAAAAGGCTTTGGGAATCTAATGTTAAAAGTTAAACTATATGACTTTGATTTCTGTATTTACCAACTAAGATGAAACGGCCGTCTAGTGCTTTCAGGTTGTCAATGTTGGTCCAACATTGATCCATTCATGATATCAATTTAAACCTATATATATATATAGTCTTAATAAAGTGATCAACATAACCAAAACAACGATTGCAAAGATTTAGATAAATCTTTGATATTACTAACAAATTACTCCTAGTCAATCAAACAGTTTATTTAATAAAATAAATACATTATTAATTAATGTTTCGATATATGACAATCATAATAAAACTGCCTAATTGTTCGAAGAAAATAATCATAACTGTTTGAATGGTGTTTCATATGTAGCATATTTAAAAGAATATAAGTCCAGTTACTTAACATTTGCACATATATTATCCTTTAAATGGTAACAGTTTTCCTAATCCTATTTATAGAGGGAAACAGAAAGGACAACTTAAAAGCATGCAAAAAATTTCCACTGTTCAAATTAACATACTAGAAAGAGGCGATCTATAATAACAAGATAATATTAAATTGAAAATAAAGGATTAGAGTGAATGGATTGTCGGATATATAAATGAAATGTAGTGAAATAATTACGAAACAAAACGAGATAAGACATCAGTAAATTTAAAACAATGTAATCGATTTTGTTTCATGCAGTTAGACTTTCTTGACCATTTGAATTTCAAATCTTATATCGGGTCAAAACCTAGCTACTGGATCTATTGATATGTTGGAATAATTTAGCCATATACTACTTAACTAGTGAGTCTCAAAATCTTTATTTATAGTCACATACCTTTCAACTTTGAAGGTGATATCTCGTAATACGGTACTGACTTAATTACATCGTTTGCTTTCATCAGTATGATATAATATTGCTAACATGTTTAAAGGCTTGGGAATAACAACCTTCCCTGTTGTGTTATGTTGATGATGATACCTGAAACGTACAATCAGTCACTTTTCTCCTGGATGCCTGTAAACATAATGCATTTTTTAGTTGATTTTGCTTCATAATATTTCAGTTCTTTTGCATTTGCTATCATTCTTACTTGTACTATCAGTCCGTTTAACATTAGTCCATATACCTTGTTCTTAACCTACTGTACTCATTAAGTTATATTAAGCTTAATTTAGATACATGTAACCAGTTACTGTCTGATAACACTCGTTTTCCTATTTCTCGCTTAGCAATGGATCAATTTAAATGACAAAATCAGTAAACAGCTTAAAGGTGAGTATATATCATACTTTTTGATCAATATGTAACATTCTGTATCTTATTTATTTGTTATATATATATATCACCTACAGAAATAGTTAGACAGAAACGAAACATAATTTGCTATAAAAATATCTATCAGTTGGAGTTTCCTGGATTTGTACTAAGCACTATATATGATAACTAAGACAAAATAAAAATCAATAGTCATATTGTCAAAAGTGAGACATTAAAATTTCTCAAGTTAAAACGAATATTCAACAAATGTAATAGATTTTGAATTATACTATTTAGTTTTCTGAACAGTTAATTTCATTTGACTTACAGACTCTAATCATCATGATATAACGCTCTTACAATGTTTAGACTGATGACTACTAACTTAATTAATTGATACTATGTATTAGTTTGATTATCCTCGAACTTTCACACATTCTTATTTACAAAGGTAGATGGTGGTTAGCAGTAGAATCCAGGACATGCACTTCATACTATTTCGGTCTCGTCAGCTGGATGTACATGCATCATAGAGTTGATGTTCACTCTGGGACGCGAACTTAAGGCAATATCGAGACAATCCTCACAGGATCCTCATATACCAATAACAGACTAATTAATTACAGTCTTAAACATCAATGGGAAGATTCAAACCAACAATACCGAATGAATTTTTATGTAACTTTCAAAGATATGATCATTTAGTAGATGTATGTGACTCAAATACAAGTGAATTAGATATAGCTTACTTTTCGTATCTTGGCACTTATGGAATATTCATTAACAAGATGTAGTGATATTTGAAGTCATCTATCTCATATATTTTAAAAAGATTGCTGTAAACAATCTAATCGATTGGTTTTTCCAAATAAGGATGACTAAATAATTTACTAGATAGTAGTTGTTTTTTTCCTTTGAATTAATTTATTGCTTACTTGTAATCTTAACCTGTTCGTTAATCATCAAACCTACTACTTCAGATAGAGTACATAAAAATAAATGAATGAAACGCCGCCTATCAAATTATGAGGAATTCAGTAATTGAATTCATGAGTCAACTGAAGCTAAACCGCCATAGAAAACCTGCTGAGGAGTCCCATACTAGAATGAAACGGCTGTCTAGTGCTTCCAAGTTTTCCAACTGACTTATGAATTTAACTATTAAATTACTGAAATCTACACAAAACCCTCTTCTAATTATAAGAAATCCGTTTTAAAAAGTGCTATCAGGAAAACACGTCTCTAGATTAGATATAATATTACAGTTTTATATTATGAATTCATTTAATATAATATCATAATTTACTAAACATTTTGATCTTTTATTATAAAAAAAACCCAGATTTTACACTGTTTTCTTCATTGAATCAAGTTTTTAATGGTTAAGGTCATGAGTCAGTTGGAGCTAGACCACCATGGAAAACCTGGAAGCACTGGACGACCGTTCCGTTCTAGTGTGGGACTCCTCAGCAGTGCGCGTCCACGACCTCGCCCCCTGCAAGATTCGAACCCAGGACCTACTGGTTTCGTGCGTGAGCACTTGACCACTAGACCACTGAGCCGGCACCAAACGGTGTTAATGTCTAACTTCAACTAATCGACGAAATTGAGCGATACATCCACCATTATCTTCAGTGAGTTACTATGTCACAACAGACCTGTTTGTTGAGGAGTTCCACAATTGGATGAAACGGCCATTCAATGCTTCCAGGTTTCCCATGGTGGTCTCGCTTCAACTAACTTATGATCTTAACCATTGAAATTACTATAATATCCACAAAACCCCTTCTGATATAAAAGATTTTAAGTTTAAATTTACTTCATTAAACATGAATTTCAACTGTAAATAAAAGAAACATTGAAGATAAACAAAATCAACACATCTATTCATAATTCAATACATTTAAGAATAACCAAGTGATTATTATCACTGATGATAAATCGATATAATATTAAACCTACTAATTCACCATACATTCAACTTTACTCGTAGGATGATTAATGTCTTTGTTATATGTATGTTAAATATGTGCCATTTACAAATTATTAATGACAATACATATTGAGCAATTCATATGATTTATCATTTAAAATAACTGTCTAAATTTAAATGTATTATTTTGTTACTTATTTAGAAACCAGTTAAAACATTCTTATACCAATTTAATTTTATGTCAGAAGGGTTTTTTTGTGTGGATATTATAATAATTTCAATGGTTGAGATCATGAGTCAATTGAAGCTAGACCATTACGGAAAACTTGGAAGCACTGGACGGTTGTTTCTCCCTATCGTGGGATTTCTCAGCAGAGCGCACGCACGATCTCGCCTCGTGTCAATTTATTTATACATAATTAATTTTGATTCATAATTAGTTGACTCCATTTTTGTTTGTTTGTTTGTTTGTTACATCTTCTGTTCTATATTTGCAGAAGTTAAAAATTCCACGTTTGGTTTTCGATTTATTTATTATCCAAACAATCCATTGGCGTGTTTCCCTAATGAAACAATTCGGTAAGTATTGAACAATTTCGTTGTAATGATTTAGTAATAGTAATCATGGCAGTATTATTAATAATAATCTTTGTTTGTTATCAAACAAAAAGGTTTTCATCCTTTTCACAACAAAAATCAAATATTCCAGTATATAGTGGTTGATTAATTATATACCATGAATTAAAATCTCTAATAAACATTATTAATTGATTAAATAATGTTCATCGTAACATTGTCAATGATAAGATGGATGATAGCTAGTAGTGAAATGTAAAACGCACACAAGCTAATGGCTATCAGGACTCAGTAGCTAAGTAGATAGCATGATGGCGTCCGAAGCTAATGGTACTTGGTTCGAGTCCGGCAGTGATGCAAGTACACCCAGCTGACAAGTCTTAAATAGAACAAAACGCGTGTCTTGGATTCCACTGATAGCCACCATCCATCTTTGCTTCTAACGCTTGTGACTTAAATCATAATGAGGTATTTTGCACAGTATGCACATATGCCAATGAGAGATTGATCAATTACAATCTTAAGCATCAATGGTAAGATTCAAATACTGAATACAAAATGTATTGTAAGTGATAGTTTATAATTTAACCTGATGGATATTGATTTTAATTTTCAGCAAAGATAATGAGATTAAATACATTTGACGGATCTAAATGTTTATCCTGTTAAAATATTTTCTTAATCAAAGGCTTACATCATTTGTGTGTTCATTAAAAAAAAATATGTTCATATTTTATTAAACTGACAGAAATGAGCTTAGTTGTATATTTGTAACAATTCACCACTTAAAATTGTACTTTTATGTATGAAAAGTCTATTCAGATAATAAGGTTTAAGTGGAATAATTCTAAATTGTTACATAATTATACAATAATATATATATGCTTTTATTATATGTACAATAGTTAGGGAGGTTTTTTATTGAAACGGAGGAGTTTATGGAGGTCGTACTAATATTAACAGTTACATTTATGGTTCGTTCTAAGCTAGACCACCACTGAAAACCTGAAAGAACTGTATCACCGTCTTGTTTTAGTGTGAGATTCTTCAGCGGTGTAAAATCGCGGATACACACTGCTGAGGAGTTTCACACTAGGACGAAATAGCCATCTAGTACTTCTAGGTTTTCAGTATTGGTCTAGCTTAGATCAATTCGTGAATTTAACGATTAAGATGATTTTTTCCTGAATATGGTTTATAAATACTAATCAATGTTTTGATTTGAAATAATCAGAGAATTTATAAAGATCGAACATGGTTAGAATAAAGTTTTACATTTTACGACGAATAATTGAACTTCACGTAGAAAAAAACCCCATGAAATTTCTTATACATTTACATTTAACATTTAAAGCCTTTGATTCTGGTACAAATAATTTGAGTTTAACATCATTAATGATAAGAAATTATGTTATGAATAAAGGTAACATTTTAGGCTCAGCTTTGTAAATAAATAATTAACCTATTTCAATTTAGTTTGTCAGTGAATACTTTGAATTGTTAATAATAATGATAATAATAATAATAATAATTGAATACATTCTTATTAGTCTATCGAAATTTATCAAAGGGACCAATCGCTTTACACTTTAGATAGTTAGGTATCGAATAAAACTCAGATTCAGATCTATCGACTTATATATGTATATACTTTGTAGATTATATTAATTTGTTAAGATGAAATATTACGCAACAAAATCATTATACTATATATGTTAAGACTCATAATGTTCCTTTATATATTTATTTACTAAAGTGTAATTAGATCAGTTTTGGGAAATCTTGTTCAAGACATTAATGTGAAGCTTTATAAATTTCACATCATACAAGTAAAAAGGTTTGATTACAATTGCTAACCTCCATGTTAGATACTTATTCTTATAATTTCTGACCTATCCTACGAGAATTGTAGCCAAATTACCAGTTTATAAATACTATGCACGATTGTTTATATATAAACTTGTATCTTGATTTTGTATGTAAACACAATAAAACGATCGATAATTTGATTGTAATTAAAATATGAATAAGAGTTAGGTGTTTTATTAGTTAACTAAGAGGAAGATAATTTAGATTTTGTTGTCAATTGGATATTGTTTAATTTCGACTAATCTGTTCACATTTAAAAAGTTGCAAATGTGATCAATCAATTATGCAGTAAATCTTTACTGTTGTAAACCAGAGAGAGAGAGAGAGATCAGAAAACAAAAACAATTTTATTTGTTAAAAAAGTTTATTCAAGGTACTTTAGTTTGGAACTTAATGAGATCCGTTGAGAGAAACCGACATGCCAACAGGAATTCAGTCTCAATTATGTAAAAATTGACTGAAAGAAAACAGTTCTTATCTTTCTTCCTGTTGTGTATTAATGAATAAACAATTAGTTACTTTAAACTTAAGTTTCAAATACTAATTGGAATATGAGATAAAGTACTGTAAATATGTGTGGTAGAGAAGTATACTGTCGTTTATTAAATTTTGAAACACAATTAAAGAATTCGTAAATTATACGGTTACTGTAACCAGTACAATAGTATTGCTCTGTATTAAGAAACATCAAACATGGTAAATAAACGCTTGACATGAAATAGTAATTTTTCTTAAGTTAATTAGTTATAAAATCTAAGGTGAAGGGTCTAACTAAGTAGAAAATCATTCACCGTTATTTGAATAACAAAATGGAACTATATGTTGTTTTCACTATTTTTCTTCATCACTTGCCTTCATCTGAGTACATATGATAAAATTTTCTCCCTATCAAAACTTATTATCTCTAGATTTCTAGCTTTAAAATATCTAATTATCATCAACTAAACAGTCTCGAACTATGATGAAATCATTATTTATTACTTGTGATATAACAGGGGAACAAAAATAGTTTTATTTCTATGCATGATATGACTATGCTACGACAATAACACTGGTGACCGAGTTTATAATACCGTTAGATTAAATAGTCAAACGGTATACTGTACACAGAATAAATCATTTTTGTTCTTTACAGTGATAAACTACTATATATATATATCACTATATCTAAAAACAGCTCCAATTAACATTCTTTTTATTGATATATTAGTCAGTTACTCATAAACAACTTAGAGAGGTCATAATATGAGTATTGACCGCATAGATAGTAGTAGAAAAGATTATGAAATTTAATAGAATATAGACGAAACTTTGGATACTTTAGTTTCATTTATTTACTCGTATATACTTTCTTGGCAGGATGAATAAAATAATCATAGTTATTTTATTCTTCAAAAATTGATTAATTAATTAAAAAAGATCCCAGCTTAAATCTAAATAGTGTTTAAAATACATAGTTCCGTTGAATGGTACCATTTTGCGAATTATGTACATATAAGCTACAGATTTTCTTAAGATCATCAATCCTTGATTGCACTGTAACTGAATGATATCTTGTTTTTCTTTAATGACAAAGTTTAACGAATATAGACAAACAATAGTTTTTATAAGGTCAATCATATATGTCCGTTTATCGTAAATTTTATCAGAAATGGTTAACGAACACCGTGGTAGCACTAAATTGTATATGTCATATAATCTTAGTAACGAAATTCAGTGTTTTCAATAGATTCGATGAAAAGACAACCGAACTGGCGGTATAGTAAATCGAGGTCCACTAGGTTCTGATTTTGTAGATATTTTTATGATTAATCTTCAAAAAACTAAGCTCAAAGGATTGACTTGTGATGTGATGTATTATGCCAGGTATATTGACGACAATTTTATGGTATGTAATGATCAGCAACCCGCAAAACACCTGCTAAAGCTTATTAACAATGCTCTTAGAAATATCCAGTTCGCTATGATACATAGAATGAATAATAAGTTACACTTTCTTGATGTTGTAATACAACATAGTGAAGATGGGATAATTCAACGTTCAGTCTATTGGAAAGACACACGATGTTGGTTATATTTGAATTTTAACAGATTTTGTTAAGTCGGTTCCAAAACAGCACTTGTCAAAACATCATTTCAGAGAACAGGAAGGATTTGTATTGCCGATACACTGGATGTAAAACTTGTGAATGTTGAGAAATATTCAAAGAACAAATGAAACCTGCGGAAATCTGTCAAGAAATACAGAATGTAGGTATTAAGACTAAAAAACATGCAAAATCAAACATTATTTTCATTCAACCTGAATTTAAATGCGATAACGTTACAGGGATAATGAAAAAAAGACTAGAGAACGACACTAACTAGAACGTAATTCGCAATCGAACCAACTATCTTATATAAAATAACATGCCTTTTACTACAGTCAAAGATCGATAGAAACTCTTATTATGTTACCGTCAAATGAGGTTATAAATCCGCATGTAACTGTCAAAAGAATTATAGGCTTTTAGTTACTCTACTCCATGAGATCTCTTTGATACAGGATATCAAATTGGTCTAATAAAATCTTTCATGATGATTAGTCGACAATCAAACTTTACTCTTCTTAAATCTAGCTAAGGTTAAAAGTCAGACATGTTTTATCGGATTCGTGTATTGATAAAGAAGCAATGATAAATATTTAATTACCATAATGATATCTCTCTTACTTCATTGCATCTCTCGCTAGAACTTTTTCTTTCTATCTAATTGTTTCATTTTCAATTTTTCTGAATACATAATTTTATCAGAAGGTGTTTTGTGGATATTATAGTAATTTTAACTGTTGAAATCATGAATCAATTGAAGCTATACCACCATGGAAAACCTGGAAGCATTGAACGGCCGTTTCGTCCTATGATGGGACTCCTCAGTAGTAGAGTTCAACATTCATGTTACATTTTGCATTCTTGAATTCTTGTATAGGGTTCACACTGTATAATATTGTCTATTCTCAATTTTAATTAGAATATACATATTTGTTATGTTTTACATAAATGTAATTTTATATTAATTGACTACTTATCTTATTTTTATTTCAACTCTTAGTTATTTACTTTTCCTTCAGTTGAGAAGGGATTTTTATGTTGGTCGTTTAAGAGCACAAGCAATGAAGATTTATGAATTAGCAGCATACGCTATACAAGGTAATTAATTTTAATATTATTACATTGATACATTGAAAAAAATTAATTTACCAAAATGTTACAAGATATACTGTGTATTATATAATGACTGATTATATTATGTGATGAATAAACATGATAGTAACTAAGGTATATGAATTTTTTTTATCTGATAATTGTTAGCCATGATTGTTTAATCTTTCCATTAATTATGAGACAGTTTTATTCAAAACAATTAATCCCTTTGATAATGCAGTGAAAAGACGAAGTTTATGAGAATTATGTGATATATTTGCGTAATACTTTTCGAACAGTCTGATCACATATATACTTATTAAGACATTTTTATATGAAAATTAAAATGTAAACTAGACAGATTAAAGGTAAGCCGTAACAAAGAAAAAAAAAATAATAAAGTACACGAAAACAATGTGATTACCACTCTGGATATTAAATCGGTATTACCAGGGTAGGTTAAGTGTAAGGACAAATTATTTTTGAACGCTTAAAAGGGGTCTCAGTTTTCATACAGCCAAGGTTTCAATAAACCTCAGTATACGTCCTTGAAGGCTTTTGTATAACACTACAAATGCTGACTTGATGTCAGCCTTATGACCGGTCTTAACCAAATGTTTCGCAATGGAGGATGGTGTCTGTCTATCCTATTGTCTTATTTGACCAATGGAATTAATTCGTTCCTGCAGCCATTTTGATATGTGTTTACTCACCCTTAATTGCAAATCACGATCGCTCCTCCCTATGAACGTGTCCTGCACATACATGTGATTTGATAGACACAATAGGATTGGTAGAAGATAGACACTAACACTGTTGGATGCCGGCTCGGTAGTCTAGTGGTTAAACGCTCGTGAGCGAGTCTGATCGATCCTAGGTTCGAATCTCGCAAGGTGGGATCGTGGATACGCACTGCTGAGGAGTCCCACAATGGGACGAAACGGCCGTCCAATGCTTCCAAGTTTTCCATGGTGATCTAGCTTCAATTGACTCATGATTTCAATAAGTGAAATTTCCAAAATCTCCACAAAACACATTCTGATAATAATAATTACCTGCTCACTAGTGACTGTCTTCAGGAAAAACTCCCGAAGTTCTAGTGAGAAGTCGTTACCAGTGGAGTTCAACCAGGTCTGTTGTGAGATAGGAACTCACTGAAGACAATGGTGTACGGTGGCGCAACTTCGTGGATTGGTTGAGGTTAGACACTAACACCGTTGGATGCCGGCTCAGTGGTCTACTGGTTGAGTGCTCACGCGTGAAGCCAGTGGGTCCTGGGTTCGAGCCCCGCGTGATGCGGGATCGTGGATGCGCACTGCTGAGGAGTCCCACAATGGAACGAAACGGCCGTCCAGTGCTTCCAGGTTTTCAATGGTGGTCTAGCTTCAACTGACTCATGATTTCAATCTGTGAAATTTCTAAAATCTCCACAAAACACATTCTGATAATTATAACTACTTCTGTAAGCAATTTCCTGTAGTTAATACAAGATTTACGGGGAAACTTTCAGAACATCGATAAAATGATGTTATGAGATCATAATCTTAAAATTATATAAATAAAACTTATTTTGTTAAGTAATAATTTGACAAAGTTGTTTATTATTCAGTTCATTAATAATGTCATAGAATAATTTAGATGTTTACTTTGAACAAAGGAAAAAGAGCTCATTATCACTATGTAATGCATTGATTATAATATTTATCAGATGGGTATGCTTATCGAATAATTGTCTTTTTATTACGATATAATATGCTTTCCCTTATCAGTCTTAAATGGTCTAGCAACTAAGATAATTTAAAAAAAACTTCTTCATAAGGAGTATTCCATTTGTTTTAGCGTTTTGGATTTCACTTAAGAAAATTATAACTATTTTGTCTTTGGTAGGCTCATCAGTATAATACAATTCAACATTGCCGATTCGGTTCTGTTCAGCTGTGTTTCATTTTCACCACATTTTTAATATACAATTACTTTACTATCAAAGATATTCTTGTAGGTGAATACAAATAAGATTAAAAACAATTGAATACAATGACTGTTGCCATTGTTTGTCTGACAGGCTTTTGTTTTGTTAATTTTTTTTTCAAAAAAACTTATTCAATATAGCTGAACATGGTCTCAAGGAGATTCCTCAAGGTTTTGACGTGGATACTATTCCTGGTGGTATGCGTGTTCTTCCTCAACTAACAAAACCTATTGTACGGCGAATCAAAAATCAACTTGAACAAATCATGTAAGCTTTAAGGCTAACGGTTTGTTTCTAAAATTTCATTTCAATGTAGTGTGATAGTAAAGTTCAATATGAAAAGGCTATTATAGATTTGCAGCCTAATGTATTTTCAATGTCTTCAGCGTTTTTATCACAATAGGAATAACGATTTTAATAGTACAAATTTGAATAGGGCTAAAGTGCACTTTAGATTTTTCAGTTGATACATAAAATATTATATTAGATGGTTAACGATAACCTATATTAAGCCTTAGGCTCAGTTTAGGTATTTCTTGGAACTATTCAGCAGGGCATATTTCCCTAAATCAGAGAGCTGATCTGCAAAGTAGGATTCAGATGCGCACCATTCAATCCTATATTTGGGGGCAGTATCATTGAGGGTGAATAATATGGCCTCCGGTTTTTGGGGGCAGGTTTTGGTGGTAAGGACTGACTTGTATAAAACTTGGTTTTAGGATATTCCACCGAATATCTCCAATCAGTTAATAAGAAGTAGTTTGTATTTTGATACTGATCCACTCAGAGTGTTGACCACACTGAAATTTAATTGATAAAATTAGTTAATTACTAAGCAATGAAAGAGGACTCTGGTTATCACTACGTTTTTAATTCTCACTTCAGTTAGACTATTAATGAATGTTTATTTGCTTGAAACCCATTTAGCAGTACAGATTCATACACTTGGACTCAATCCATAGTCTTTTGTATACAAACAGTTTAAACCCATGTGAATGGAGTGTTGTTTTAATTTACCAACCATTGAGTAACTGTTAAATAGTTTAACCACATTAAATCCTAAAGTGTGAAAATTAAAACAGTATAAGATTCCTCAGAGTGTTATACAGAATAATATCTATGAGTAGATTGAAAGATTGCTATACTATCAAATTACCCACTTGTTTTACATCAACACCCACCTTAAGACATTGATCAGAGTATCAACATATTTGTTCATAAATATTAATTCGTTATTCTAATTATTAAATAAATACATAATATCACAGATTGAAATCATGAGTCAGTTGAAGCTAGACCACCATTGAAAACCTGGAAGCACTGGACGGCCGTTTCATCCTAGTATTGGACTCATGATTTTAATCTGTGAAATTTCTAAAATCTCCACAAAACACATTCTGATAATAATAATTACCTGCTCACTAGTGACTGATTTCAGGAAAAACTCCCAAAGTTCTAGTGAGAAGCCGTTACCAGTGGAGTTCAACCAGGTCTGTTGTGAGATAGGAACTCACTGAAGACAATGGTGTACGGTGGCGCAACTTCGTGAATTGGTTGAAGTTAGACATTAACACCATTGGATGCCGGCTCAGTGGTCTACTGGTTAAGTGCTCGCGCGCGAAGCCAGTAGGTCCTGGGTTCGAGTTCCGCGTGATGCGGGATCGTGGATGCGCACTGCTGAGGAATCCCATACTAAGATGAAACGGCCGTCCAGTGCTTCCAGGTTTTCAATGTTGGTCTAGCTTCAACTGACTCATGATTTCAATCTGTGAAATTTCTAAAATCTTCACAATACCCATTCTGATAAATACATAATAGTTATCTATCACAGTTTAGTTTATGGGACATACAATGATTTTTGTATACATTTGTATTGATTTGAATGATAATAAACGCACTAATATCCTTCATAACCTTTGAAATTATCACACAGTTTATCTTATCTATCTCTGAATTCCACTCAACTAGTACACTACCCATCCGTAATGTTTCCTTGATTCTAAACACTAAATAACCTCTGACCTGTTCTTGCATATATATATATATATATATATATATATATATATATATATAGTTAATAAGCCATCGCATTATTCACTCAGCTACTGAGTCCTGAAGCGAATGGCACTGGGTTCGAGTCCCAGAGTGAACATCAACTCTGAGATGCAGATACATCTCGATGGCGAGTCCCAAATAGGACGAAACATGTGTCCTGGATTCCACTGCTAGCCACTATCCATCGTGGCTTACGAAAAGCTTGTGAATTAAGGCAATATCGAGGCATACGCACAGTATGCACATGTGCCAATAACAGACTGATCAACTGAAGTCCTAAACCTCAATGGAAAGATACAAGGAAAACAATACCAAGTGAATATGTAGTTATTATTGATAACCTTTGTCCTTCCAATGATTTACATTCAATTATGTCAATTGTTTCATACTGTTTCTTATCTCAATGTAAAGTTCCAATACATATTTGGTTGTAAGCAATTGACGAGAAACCACGAAATATAATGAATTCATATTATTTTGCATCGATATTTGTTCTGGCTTTATTTAAATTCATAAAGGGAACTAATTGCATGAAACACTAAAATCTCTTGCCATTTTTCAAATACTATACATTCTTTACATCTGTTTTAACTATATTATTTTTATCCTACTATTATATTTTCCTTATTTATTAATAATCTAAAGCTAATATTGATAAATGAAACATGAAACAAAGTAAAAATCGTTATCGACGGAATGTTTGCTTCGATTACATTACTTCTGAACTATAGACCACACTACTACTACTACTACTACTACTACTACTACTACTACTAATAATAATAATAATAATAATAATAATAATAATAATAATAATAATAATAATAATAATAATAATAATGAATATTGAATGTTAAAATTACATTCGAAATAATCTATTGAATAAACCAATGAAATTTAATTCAATTCTAAAGAAACTCAAACCAGTTTGTTGGACGCCCAATTTCTTTTAGACCGTTCATTATAAAAACAAACATTCTTTATATCAAATCACAAATATTTCTTATTGAACTATGATTTTTGTTTTAGTTCACTGTGATTTTTTAAATTTTTTTAAATTTTTTCTTGGAATAGAAAATATCTTATTTCAAATATGATGATAATAAGGAATAATGTAGACAAGCATGACATTGTTCACCACCCAGTGATCAATCAATTGTGATAAAATCTCAGTCCTACAGGAGGTTAGTCACGGTTCGAATAGCTCAGTGGTAACGTCTCTGAACGTGAAGCTGGGTGACACGAGATCGAATCCTTCAGGGAGCACCAGTTTCCTCAGGATTACAGGTACACCTTGCATACGAGTGCCAACTAGCACAAAACCCGGGTCCAGGGTTTCCTGTTGACTACCTCCAACCATCATCTAAATCTCAATACATAGTGCCCGCAGTGTCGAGTCACCTAGACTAGTGGCCACATTTCAACTAGGTCGATAGCATTCGATCTGCACTAATAAGGTCTAGGCAAGCATGACATTGATCGCCACTCAGTGATCAAACAATTGTGAATGTAATTCTCTCCCTAACTATTTACTATATTTAATACATACTTGCGCCTGTTACTCCTAACGGAGCATAGGCCGCCGAACAGCATTCTCCAACCCACTCTGTCCTGGGCCTTCTTTTCTAATCCAATCCAATTCTTGTTCATTTTTCTCATGTCTATCTCCATTTCCCGACGTAATGTGTTCTTTGATCTTCCTCTTTTCCTTTGGCCTTGAGGATTCCATGTGAGGGCTTGTCTTGTGAATAGTTAATACATACTTGTATATAAATCTATATAATATGCTAAATTTATATTTGGCATGTTTTACAATCACATACATAACAAATTTCAAGAATCTTATATAGTAATAATGATAATACTTGAAAATGATAGAATAATCTAACACAATAATGATTCACATTTAATGAAGGGTATTTGAAAAAAAAAGCCTAATAGAATAAGTCTATATAAAATAGTTTAATAAAAAAGAATAGATCAAAGGATGATAGAATATTGAATGTCTTTGTAATAATATTGATTAATCGTTGGTTAATAAAGTTTTGATTAGATTATTTATGGTTTAGATAATCAATAAGTTGATAACATTGTCAACTTACTTACTTACCTAATTACTTACGACTGTTACTCCCGATTGAACAAAGGCCACCGACCAGCATTCTCCAACTCACACTCTCCTCGCCCTTCCTTTACAGTTCTATCCAATTTTTGTCAATTCTTTTCTCATGTCTGTCTCCATTTCTCAACGTCATGTGTTCTTTGGTTTTCCTCTTCTTCTCCTTTGGCCTTGAGGATTCCATGTGAGGACTTGCCTTGTGACACAGTTCGGTGCTTTCCTTAATGCGTGTCCTATCCACTTCCATTGCTTCTACCTGATTTCTTCCTCTACTGGGATCTGGTTTGTTCTCTCCCATATTAGGTTGTTGCTGATGGTGTCTGACCAATCGGTCAGAAGTATTTTGCGTAGACAACTGTTAATAAACCCTTGTATCATCTGGATGATGGGTTTGGTAGTTCTGCAGGTTTCCGTTTCATACAGTAGAACTGTGTTGACATTTGTATTGAAACTTCTGACCTTGATGTTGGTTGACAGTTGTTTTGAATTGCAGATGTTCTTCAGTTGTAAATATGCTGCTTTTGCTTTTCCGATCCGCGCCTTCACATCTGCATCAGATCCACCGTGTTCACCAATGATGCTGCCCAAATATGTAAATGTTTTTACATCTTCCAAATCTCCGTCAATGGTGACTGGATTGGTGCATGCTGTGTTGTATCGGAGAACCTTGCTCTTCCCTTTGTGTATATTGAGACCTACTGCTGCTGAGGCTGCTGCTACACTGGTCATCTCCTCTTGCATTTGTCGTTGCGTGTGAGATAGAAGAGCCAGATCATCTATGAAGTTTAGATCGTCCAACTGCATCATAGATGTCCACTGTATCCCATGCTTCTTCTCCGATGTTGACGTCTTCATGATTCAGTCGATCACCAGAAGAAAGAGAAAGGGTGAGAGTAAGCAACATTACCTGACATCGGCCTTTACTTCGAACGAGTCTGTCAATTGTCCTCAATGGATGATTTCTCAGTTTAATCCATCATAGGAATTCTGTATGATATTGACTATCTTCTGAGGCACGCTGTAGTATCGAAGATGCTTTCATAGTGTTGTCCTGCCTACGCTATCAAATGCTTTTTCGTAGTCAATGAAGTTGATGTAGAGCGATGAACATTGTCAGCTTGGTACAATAAAAAACTGTATCTTGATTAGTCTAACGTTTTAAATAGATAGACCGACTGATTTTTGTAGCCTAATTCCAATTACGTAAACAGAGTTATTACTAAAAGGTAGAGAATTGGATTAACGGTATTTATTGATATATAATAATTAGTTAAATTTCTTTCGGTACTTTTAAAAGTCGTTCAACAATTGAAATAAATCAGTGTTATATCTAAAGCTTAGATTCTTAATATACCGCGTATAACTTGAACATTGGAACTCTATAACTCTCCAAGTCTCAAATGAAAAAACAGAAGAAAAGTGAAAGGAATGCTATTCTAAACAGTGTCAATTATGGTATAAAACTGTCAGAGATTTATGTTTTTAAGTGTAACAGAATAAAATAAAGATAAAAATTTCTTGTTAGGCTCGGTTTTAAATATTATGGAATTCAGTTACTTAAAACATCGAGATCCAAAAATTCAGATGAATAATTATACCATTACATGATAGTTTTCTATTTATTTGAACATTGGACATTTAAACATCACGGTCTCATTTCTGTTTTATTTGCTCCCTGTTGATATCCTCATTGTATTACACATACTTTGATATTACAAGTAAAATTATTTGTTTGTGATGAAAGTTCAAATACAGGCAAATTAATTTGCAAGTATGTATTGTAATTTTTTGTTTATTAATTGTAAAGTGGCATGTCTAAATCTGAAGCTCTGGAGAAATTCATCGATGAAGCGTCAAAAATCGAAACCTATGGCATGGAACCTTTTCAGGTGCAAGTAAGTGTGACACAATATTTCCGCCATTTAAATTTATTTAGTAACTTAGCTTTCGAGCTTGTTATAATGCATACTTAAACCAGTCGTTACATCCGACAGCCTGGTTATTTAGTAGTATTGTGCTGTAAATCCAGGTGACTAAATTTAGTACTATAAAATGTAAATAACCCTGAATCTGTAACTCGTGGGACAAATTAATTTCAACAATAAGAAAATAAAATAAAATTTAAGATCACATAGACCACCTAACACTGACTTAGAATCCTAAAGGAAAGGAAGGTCAAAAGATGCAGACATCAAAAGAATGAATAGTAACTCGAAACAACTGGGAAAGATTATCCAGGACAGAGTTTCATAGAGAATCCTTTTAAGTGTCCTATGCTCCTCCACGAGGGGTAAAAAGCGTAAGTAAGTCAACAAGTTATATATAGCTTAGGCAATAAGCGACCAGGAATTTGTTGAATCCAATATGACTCTAAAACGAGTTTATTCTATGTCAACCGCATTTTGTATATTTAAGTATATATTTGTGACAGAAATTCCGAGTGAAAACAAAGTATTTAACTGGTTCTTTCTATTGGCCTTTACAAAGATGATAATAAAATAGTTTTTACAAAGCATGCACTTTACAGTTGATTGATCGATGAGTAATGACCAGTGTCATGTTTCTTTAGTTCGTTAGTTCTGATACAACTCTGTCAATTATGCTACAGTATAGCCACTAGTCTAAATGACTCAACACCACATTTAATATGTCAAGATATTAGGTGTTTGCATCTATTCTTTCAAGAATATGCGTATACCTTACTGACGAGTCCTAAACAGTGCCGAACCTAGGGTCAGGGTTTTTTGTTGAGTACCTCCGGTCACCTAAGCAACCAAACAATATGTTCTTTAACACAATAAAACTATAATGTTTTTGTTTTATTGTAAATCATCTACATAGTACTGAAGAAGCAGTTATTTAAAAGATTTTTTAATCACAATTTTGTTAAAAATGGTAAACAAGCCTTGAAATGTTATAAAATCAGTCAAATATTAAACATCATATTCAGATTGCGTTGTAATATGTTTCGAGTAAACGACAAATACTCATGAGTTCAGTATCTAATAACTATTTCTCCTAACAGACGAACATTTATAGCTTTTCTAATTTTCAAGTCAATTAGATAAGTAGATATTCTGCAAAACTAGTCAATATAATTCTGTCAGCAATAAAGTTAAAAAGAATGAAGTCAATTATTATCTGCTGACTATTGATTGACATATCCCAAATAATTCATCATTTACTCCTTTAATTTTTGTTTTGAGTGATGCTACACCAAATTTTTAGAGAATCTTATTTTGTCTACGCACACACATTTTACCAACGATTACTGGTCTACACAAATATGAGTTATAAAACTTCTACAGAGTGTTTTAACTAACCGTTATGATATCTAACTTAAAACGGATATGATTAAAAGTTAGGTTAAGATGATCAATAGCATAGAGACATAAAAGCTTCATTTTCTAAAATATGAGTTTCATATTTGCTTGTTTGTCAAGATTATTCAATAACAGTGTATTTGTTCATTTCATAAATATATATTTTTTGATTGAGATCATGAACCGATTGATGTTAGACCATCATTGAGAACCTGGAAGCACTGGACGGCCGTTTCGTACTGTTGTGTGGATGCGCACTGCTGAGGAGTTCCACAATAGGACAAAACGGCCGTCCAGTGCTTCCAGGTTCTCAATGATTGTCTAACATCAATCGGTTCATGATCTCAATCAAAAACTTAACAATCTCCACAAGCCCTAAACCCATAAATATTTGTTAGATTTCCTTCTTGTGAATTTTGTCTCATTATTGCTCACAGTTTACATGTTAGTTGTTTTTCCTCAGAGATAGATTCAAGGTTACATTTATTTCTGTATCTAATTGTCAACTTAAAATTATGTTTGATTTTGAATTTAAAGTCAACAATAAAAGAATCGCTCTTTTTTTCAAGTTACACAATTATTTTGTTCTATAAGAAGGTTATTATCCTGATGACCAGTATAATAATTTAAACTATAATAGAGAAGAGAAAAACCATTTACATGTTGTTATGACTTTATGTCCGGCTTTTTATCACGTGATTTATCCACCAATCAAAATACGACTTATACAATCTTCGCACTGTGCCAAAACCAATGACTTTCGACCGGTATGGGCAGTTTAGCGTCCTTAATGATTCTATGTCCGCCTAGCCCGTACATTTGAGTCCAGAACACCAAATACCAGCTTCCAATATGCGAATCGAATCATTTATTTCAGAGATACTGAGTTTACATATCAATCAAACAGATCGCAACACACAATAAAATAGGAAATAATATTTGTACACAATAAAGCCAAAAAATGACTGTGAACGTGGGAGGCAATAGTCAATAAACTGAACATAGCTTAAGAACAGTAAATCGTACAATGATAAATTATAAATCAAAATGAAACTTATAATAAGAAGAATATAAATATACATAATCTAATTATGGAATAGTTAAACCATAAGAATATATAGATAATATTAGTCAATTAATATGTTTCAGTAGTTACTCGTGATTTAATCTTTGCTCAGATATAACACATGTTTGTTTAATTCCTTTCTAAGTAAGTGAAGAACAGTTTGAAACTATAAGGTAACATATAAAATCATTTTCTTTTTACCGAAAATATTAATGAAGAGCAACAAACAGAAAAGATAATTAACTAAACGAACTATATACCTTCACAAACTGATGAACCGGAAATCATATAAGATTATGAGATAACATTTTGAGATCAAGAAAAAACAATCATTTTTTTATAAGCAGAGATGGATAGTGGCTGGCAGTGGAATCCAGGACGCGCGTTTCGTCCTGTTTGGGACTCGTCAGCTGGGTGTACCTGCATCTCAGAGTTGATGTTCGCTCTGGGACTCGAACTCAGTACCGTTCGCTTCAAACGCCATCGCGTTATCCACTAAGCTACTGAGTCCTGATAGCCGCTTGAGTTCGAGTCCTAGAGTGAACATCAACTCTGAGATGCAGGTACATCCAGCTGACGAGCCCCAAACAGGACGAAACGCGCGTCCTGGATTCCACTGCTAGCCACTATCCATCTCTGCTTATAATGCTTGTAAATTAAGGCAATATCGAGGCATACGCACAGTATGCACATATGCCAATAAGAGACTGATCAACTTCAGTCCTAAAACATCAATGGGAAGATTCAAATAAAACAATATCAAGTGAATTAATCATTTTTTTGTTTGCTTATTTTTCTATGAAAAAAAGTTTTAGTTTTTGATTTTTCACTCGTTAGAAATAAAAAAATTTCTACTAAGAAATAGACATATATAAATAATACTTTTAAGCATAGATTTGTTTGTTGGAAAAAGTCAGTGCATCAGCTGATTTTGGTTACGTTCATAATAATAATAATAATAATAATAATAATGGTAGTAATAGTAATAGTAATAATAATAATAATAATAAAGATGTTTCGAAAAATACTGATTACATCAGATGTTTTAATGAAAATTAAATCAATATTCTTATTAAGTTCTTATTATCTCCTATACTGTTGTTCCATGTGACAATGGTCTTAACGAACTCATTATGAATGAAAAAACAAACAAATTCTAATTTAACTAACATAGTGACAAAACATAAAAAAAGAACTACTGAATATTCTATCATTTATTTTTTGAGTAGTAATTTTAATTATAAAAAAACATTTGTTATATATGAATGTTATTTATTTCTGGGGTTATGAATTAGGAAAATGTTTACTAGCAAGTTTAGTTGAATTTATGAAAGATAAAGTGAAAAGAAAGTAAATACTTCATACCTAATCTAAGTGATATAACTAACTGTTTTATATTAATTAAATTTTTAAGAATAATATTACAAAATTGATAAGAACTGGCTTCATTAAATACTTCATATCTTGATTCATGGAGCTTTATATAGATTAAAATAAACTTAATGCTTAGTTCATGCTCTTTTTGAACTAGTTAATGCGAATCATAGAGTTATAAATAAATAATATATTTGTAATATTCCAATGAGTAGAAAATGAGATTTTCTGACGTTTCGTGACTTAGTGTAAGTCACTTCTTCAGAGAATAAATAAACAAATTAAAATTAATCCAAGTTTAGATAGTACAACGGAACAAGTCACGAAACGTCAGAAAATCTAATTTTCCACTCATTGGGATATTACAAACTTATTATTTTTATTTATAACAATCTACTCTATGCTCAGTTTGTTCGAAATTATCAAATCAAATCTTGATAATGATACCTACAAATCATAGAGTGTTTCTTACTTACGACCTAAGTTTAATAATGGAGTTGTATTTCCGTTCAGTGATATATAGTTATATTACTTAATTACTTACTTACTTACAGTTGTTACCGTTCGTGGAGGAACATAGGGCACCCAACAGGATTCTCCATCAAACTCTGTCTTGGATAATTTGTCCCAATTTTTTCGAGTTGCTATTCATTCTTTTGATGTCTGCTTCCGATTCTCGGTGTAGTGTGTCTTTTGACCTTCCTCTTTTCCGTTTCCCTTCAGGATTTCAAATTAGCGCGTGCATCATGATGCAGTTTGGTGATTTCTACAATATATCCCTTAGTTGTATTCACAGATCATTTTTATTTAGTTTTAGATTGGGAGCTATTCACTACAATCATAAGATAATCTCAGTTGTTTGGAACAGGAATAATAATTCAGATGCAAGATGATGAAATAACAGTCACGTAAAATTTGACTAGATAAATGTGTATTTAACTAGTTGGTCTGATGAAATTTATTCAAAACAAAATATGTCTACCTTAAACATATCAAAATAATAATAAAGAAGCAAACATCACACTACCATATCATTTGGATTAATATAAATAGTTTCTTTCTAGTAAAATATTAAAGATTTTATAATCGGAAGAAAGGTTTAATTTTATAATTTTAATATACTTACTTACGC